CAAAAACATGCAAATGAGAAATGTTTGGTTTTCTACCTTTAAAGAGTTCATAGGGGTTTTCCTTAAGAATTGGTCTTATAAGAACTCCATTTTAAACATAACATGCACTACTTACATCATCAGCCCAAGATAGTTTGGGAGGTTAGTTTCATTTAACATTGTACGAGCAAGTTCTTCTAAGGACAAATTCTTTCTCTCTACAACACCATTTTGTTGTGGTGTTCTAGGAGCAGAAAAATTGTGATTAATCCCAAGATCATCACAAAATTCTTCAAAAGAAGTGTTTTGAAATTCTCCCCCATGATCACTTATTATAGCAGCGATTTTTAATGCTTTTCATTTTGAACTCTTTTAGCATAAGTGCTAAAGGCTTTGAATACCTCATTCTTATGAACTAAGAATAGAGTCCAAGTATACCTTGGAAAATCGTCTACTATAACAAAAGCTTAGTAGTTACCACCATAAATTTTTGTCCTTGAGGGGCCAAATAAAAGAAGTTTTTATTTTACCCATTTGACAAGAACTACATAGTTTGTCTTTAACAAACTTCATTTTGGGTAAACCAACAACTAAATCTTTCTTTATGATTTTATTCAAATGGTCCCTTTGAATATGAGCAATTCTCTTATGCCAAAGCCATGCATCATGATTATCATTAGCAACTAAACATGTTATTGGTAAAGATTAATCTATGTCAATCATATATATGTTATTTATCCTCTTACCAATAAGTTTAGAGTTTTGAGAATCCTTACCTTCAATGATGCATTTATCCTGGTAGAACGCCACTTGGAAGCCTTTGTCACATAATTGACTTATGCTTAGTAGGTTGTGCTTGAGTCCTTCAACATATAGCACACCTTCTATGGTTGTTGAGGGTGGCTTGCCAATTCTACCAACTCCAAGTATTTTTACCCTTGTTGTTGTCACCATATGTGACATAGCCTTTGTCCCTTGGAGTAAGGACAAAGAACTTACTTTTATCGCCTGACATGTGTTTTCAGCAGCCGCTATCCAAATACCATAAGTTGCAGGCGACTCTCAAATTTTACTGCAAAATAGGTTAAGTAATATTAGGTACCCAATTTTTCTTGGGTCCTACATGGTTAGTCCCTTTCTCAACCCATCTATAATGTCCTAGGGGAACACCATATTTTTTAATTAAGCAAGTATTTGGTGTATGCCCATGGTTTTTACAATATGAACATGTGATTTGATGCTTATGTATCCTAGTTTTATTATTACTATGAACAAATGCATGGATACTTGATTTTTGAAAGTTTATCTTAGTTGACACACTTTGTTTCTTAGGAACATGGCTTAATAGCCAAGACCTCTTCAGTCTGTTGAGTGTCTTTGATCATCAATGATCTTACTCAGACTCTTTCTACTCTTGTTCATCTTATTAAGTTCAAGACTTAACGTTGAAACTTTATCTTCAAAGTAATGCATTTTTTACATGAAGATGATAAAGGTTTGTTTCTAAAAACATCTAATTCAGAATTTTTGTTTTAGAAACATTTTAGTTAATTTCATATACTCATCATGCAAATCATTAAATGGAGTTTGTAGTTCAGAGAAAGAAAATAGGTTAGATTCATTTACCTCTTCATCATCAGAGTGATGAGACGCCATTAATGAGAGTTGTGCTTGCTCTTCGCTTTCTGGTTTAGAGGCGGAACTTGTATCATTATCTTCCCAAGCAATGTAGGCTCTCTGTCCATTCTTCATTTCATTCTCTCCTTTGAAAGAGACCTTTTCAAGATTTGGACAGTCCATCTTCTTATGGTCAAGCTTGCCACATTCAAAGCATGTGAAGTTTTGGCTTGAAGTGGAGGAATCATTGTTCTTGCTGAACTTCTTAACAAAAAGACTCATGTCTTCCATCTCTTCATTTTCGTCTTCATCTTCTGATGATTCATATTTTTCTACTTTCGCTATTAGAGAAATATTCTTCCTTTTCTTCTCTTGCTCTTCATGCTGGTCAAGTTGGCTGAGTTCTAGTTCATGTTCGTGCAATTTTCCAAACAAAGCAGCCAAGGACATTTTCGATAAACTTTTCTATTCAGAAATGGCTGTTACCTTTGGTTGCCATGTTCTGGTGAGTGATCTTAGAACTTTTAGGTTCAGATCACTACTTGACAACACTTTTCCAAGTGCAATAAGATGATTTGTAAGGTGAGTGAATCTCTTTTGGAGATCCATAATTTTATCTCCAGGCTTCATACGAAACATCTCGTATTCCTGGGAAAGAGTATTCAATCTCGACCTTTTTACCTCATCGGTTCCTTCATGTATGGTCTCTAGAGTAACCCACATTTCTCTAGAGTATCCCACATTTCTTTCGTCAATGCCAAGTGCCAATTGTAAGAATGAGATTGCTACTAAGAGGGGGGGGGTGAATTAGTTGACTTAAAAGTATGGCCACTTTTTTTGCAAAATCAAGAGTTAAAGTGCAGTGGAAAACACACTCACTAATACTTATCCCCTTTCTATTCACACCTTGGTGAAAGAAATAATTCTATCAAAATGAAGAATTTACAACAATGGCAGGATTTCCTTTACAAGTTTGATATGACAATTATAACTTGTAATCCAATAAATCTTGTATACTATAAGTAATAATGCTCTTTGGAAGTTTGGAAAACTTAGAAACACTTTTAAGCAACTTAGAAAAAATAACTTTGAAAGTTTGAGTGCAAGTTGCTAAAATGTAGAAAAATATTCAGAAAAAGTGTGGGAGCTTTTGAAAGATTTGAATGAAAGTTGTAATATGAGTTGTGTTTTTGAGTTATGTGTTCTAATGCCTTTATATAGGTTTCGTTTGGAATGAAACACTTTCGTTTGGGGTGAAAACCTTTCACTTTGAAATTTGAAAACTGGTGTAACATCTCTCATCAATCGATTACAGCAAGTGGGTAATCGATTACCCAAACATCTTGTCCAACTGTATTTTCAAAATTTACATAGTGTAATCGATTACACACTTTGAGTGATCGATTACCCAAGTGTTCTGTCCAACAGTATTCTCGAAAATTACTTAGTGTAATCGATTACCTATTTTGAGTAATCGATTACACAGATGTTCTGCGACTGGTAATCTGTTACTCAAGGTCAGTAATGAATTACTCTAAGTAGTTGGATGTTGGATAACTCATTTCTGACACATGTAACCTGTTACTCAAGTACAGTAACCTGTTACACACTATTTTTGAAAATTGTTTTGATTATACTTAGACTGTTTCAATTTTCTTTCAAAAATATTTTGAGCATTACTAATAAAGTATATTCGAGAGTATTGGTTAGAAGTACCTATTTAGACTTAAACTATTTTGTCTTGAAGCTTTTTCTTCTTTTTCTTCATAAGTATTCTTCCTTTCTTCTTTTTGGTGATGTTGGTGTCTTCATCAAAACCGTGCCAAGGTCAGGAGCAAAATCTTCTTCAAAGTAGCATTCAGACCGAATGACTCTATGAAATTATGTTGCTACTTATCGTAGGAGACATCTCTTTTTTTCCCCGGGGAATCTGTCGAATTACCACTGCTTAGCTTTTAATTTGCCTCTAACCATCTAATGAAATGTGAATAACCCGCCCTCCACTCTTTGAAACAAGGGGCGCTTCTGGTTCTGTCGGTTCTTGAAACAATTTTGTCTTCTCCATATTACTTATTACTATATCTGTAGAGTCAATAATTTTATATGAGGAACTACTGAACTCAATCACTGCTACCATTACTCTTCAGTTTTTTGTTGAGGTCTATCCTATAGAAGTACGCAAATTGGATCAATGATCGATTTCTAGGTTTTTTCGTAAACCTAATTGGTTACTTCCAATTACGTAAATCATTAGTTCAAACCGCACTCAAAGGTAGGGCGTTTCCCATTTTTATAAGAACTTTTGTACGAGAAACAATGGTATCTCCAATGATAGCCCCTCTAGGGTGTAAAATATATATTTTCTCACCATCCCCATAGTGTATGAGACAAATGTATGCATTTCTATTAGGGTCATATTCTATGGTTACGATTATACCATATATGTCCTTTTCATTCCGTCGAAAATTGATTTTATGGTATATACGCTTATGACCTCCCCCTCTATGCCCTGGGGTAATGATTCCTTTGGCATTACGGCCTTTACCACAAAGATGTTGTCCATAGATCAATGTTTTTCGTGGATTAGATTTCACTTGACTGTCTACGGTTCCATTGCGTGTGCTCGGGGTAGAAGTTTCTTATAAATGTATCGCCATGTTATTAAGTATTTTGATTTAAGTTCTTTTCTTTATAAGAGGTGGAATTGAATAACCCGGTTGAAGCGTAATGATCTTACATTTGTAATGCATTGTATGTCCCATAATAGGTCGCATTCTTCTACCCTATACCGGGATTCGATGACTATTCATAGCTATTAGCTTGACGCCAAAGAGGAGTTCGACCCGATGCTTTATTTCTGTCCTAATTGATCCCGATTCGACATTATAAGTATATTCATTTTTCACCAATAACCGAATACTTTTGTCTGTAAATACTGCATATTTTATTCCATTCATAAATCTATTTTCTTCCCTATGAGTTCTAGTCTCAATAAGACTACTAGTTTTTACTGTTCATATGTTATGATTTGAATATACCACACCAATTCGTTATGTATGGATGATGAGATTCCATTGATACAGAGTGAATCGTTCTTTTTTCTCTGACAGATGGTCAGAACTTCATCTGGGTTCGAATCCTACTGAGAGGTCCACTAGAGATCAGAAATTGTTGAAGAAAGAACAAGATGTTTCTTTTGTTCTTTCCAGGCGATCGAAAAATAAAGAAATAGTTAATATATTCAAGATAATTATGTATTTACAAAATACCGTCTCAATTCATCCTATTTCATCAGATCCGGGATGTGATATGGTTCCGAAGGATGAACTGTCCCGTTCCAATAAGATTTTATTCTTGAACAAAAATCCGATAGACTTATTGGTATTGGAGGGAGGGTCCCATTGGCGTGCATCCAGTAGGAATTGAACCTACGAATTCGCCAATTATGAGTTGGGCGCTTTAACCATTCAGCCATGGATGCTTAGCGGGAATCCTCGTACATAGTGAATAACCAAATTCCAATTGAAGTGAAATCTTTCGGATAAATCAATGCAATTATCAATGCAATTTAGGAGGATTCGATGAAAGGACATCAATTCAAATTCTGGGTTTTCGAATTGAGAGAGATATTGAGAGAGATCAAGAATTCTCGCTATTTCTTAGATTCATGGACCCAATTCAATTCAGCGGGATCTTTCAGTCACATTTTTTTCCATCAAGAAAGTTTTATAAAACTCTTGGACTCCCGAATTTGGAGTATCCTACTTTCACGCAATTCACAGGGTTCAACAAGCAATCGATATTTCACGATCAAGGATGTAGTACTCTTTGTAGTAGCGGTTCTTATATATCGTATTAACAATCGAAAGATGGTCGAAAGAAAAAATATCTATTTGACAGGGCTTCTTCCTATACCTATGAATTCCATTGAACCCAGAAATGATACATTGGAAGAATCTTTTGAGTCTTCCAATATCAATACGTTGATTGTTCCGCTCCTGTATCTTCCAAAAGGAAAAAAGATCTCTGAGAGCTCTTTCCTGGATCCGAAAGAGAGTATTCGGGTTCTCCCAATAACTAAAAAGTGTATCATGCCTGAATCTAACTGGGGTTCGCGGTGGTGGAGGAACTGGATCGTAATAAAGAGGGATTCTAGTTGTAAGATATGTAATGAAACCATCACTGGAATTGAGATCTCATTCAAAGGGAAAGATATCAAATATCTGGAGTTTCTTTTTGTATATTATACGGATATGAATGATCTAATCCGCACGGACCATGATTGGGAATTGTTTGATCGTCTTTCTCCGAGGAAGAGGCGAAACATAATAAACTTGAATTCAGGACAACTATTCGAAATCTTAGTGAAAGACTGGATTTATTATCTTATGTTTGATTTTCGTGATAGCAACCCGCCAAGGCCCATCAACCTGGATAACCTAATGGGCCTAGGGGGAGCCATAACTCAGGCCAGGGCCAAGAAAGCCCAAAGCACTCTTGGCCAACTCATTCTAAACACATTTGCCTCAAATGGGCCAAGTGACAACATGAGGCCCATAGTGTACCTCACCTTGGAGGACATTACCCTTGAAGGCCACAACCAAACAAGGGATGAATAAAGGCTCTTATAGTTTGTCTTAATAATAAGTGGCTTTAAACCCCACATTTCTCCTTTTTTAATTATTGTTAGTTATTTTCATCATCAACTAATAAATGTGTTTTTATGTAGGAACATCATGGTAGCATGGACCAGCCCAAAACCACGCTGCAACCTGACTAAGCAGCTGACCTAGCCAGGCGCCGCATTTCCCGCATCATGACTAGACCAAGCGCTAGAAGCTGACTGAGCATATGACTAGGCCAGGCCACGGGCAGGCGTGCTGACTAGACCGAGGCGCCACACTTTCAGCCAAAATCATAAATGTGAATTTCAGACATGGCCATGCTCGAGGAGGCATCCCACACATTAGGCTTGAATTAAACAAGGCACATTAAGGCTGAATTCAAATTTGAATCAACTTTAAAGTGTGGACTAAAGACAAGGAAACACATCCCATATCTTCCACCAACTCTTTAAAGACACTTCAAAGCATGGCCAACCACAAAAGCAACATTTATGACGCCTACCTTATTATTTGCCTAATGTTTCAATGCCATTTTGATTGAGTAATTACAATGATTAATTCAGCCAAGCCACAAAATTAAAGCATTCATGGCTGACTTCAAATTCAAATGTGACTTGATGGCACATCCCACCATTTCCGCCTAGGCCTTAAAAGAGTTATTAACGAGACATACATCCCATATTTTCCGCCCAAGGAATGAAGGCAAAGCTACAACACGGCCAAGGCTCTTAAAATACAATTAGCACATGTTGGGAATTCAAATTCAAGTTAGAATTGAAGTGCCACCTTATTTTCCTCCTCCACTTAAATGGATTTGGCAAGAGACATACACCCTTGTTTTTTGGCTCGGTTTAAACACCAAATATCACGAGCCAATAACTATTTGAATTAATAATCCATATGGCACTTAAAGAATGTAATGGCTCTTAAAGCCGTGAGCTTAGAAGATGCACATTTCAAATAATTCTTAAAGTATGGGAGCCTTAGACGGACAACCCTCTATATATGTAAGCCTTTGGCATTGAAATGAAGTTAAGTTGAATTTTATGCAAAATATTTTAGTGAGTTTTCTCCTAAGATTCTTGGTTGAACCAAGGCCTTTTGTTCTTATCAAACATCCTTGTTTGTGGCGAACTACCTTTGGCTTATCAAACAACTTTGTTTGTGGCGCCATCCCATTTCAATCTTCTTCACCATTTCTTTTATCCATCACAAAACCATAACAAACACAATCACATATCAATTACCAAGTCTCAGCCAAACCACCAGCCCCAAGCCAACCTTTACCACCTAGCCCAAACACATCCAAAGCACAATCCCAATATCCCCCTTCTCGGCTTACAATCACCAAAACTTAACCCAACACCTACTCTCGGCCAAAAACACCTACAAACACAATCCCAAATCACCAAAATCATAACCCATCCAAAATATCTCAAAAACATCCAAAAACACCAACAAAAAAAGTCCCTTAGAGTTTCTATTACTTTACTTCAAACAAAACGGTCAAGTTAAAATACCAAAAACCTAAACCCCCACAAGGAGCCAAAGCCGAATACATAAAACGGCTTCATGAACAGGTAAAGGCCAAAATTGAAAAGCGAAATGAGGGCTATGCTAAGCAAGCCAACAAGGGTAGAAGAGAAGTCATCTTTGAACCTGGAGATCTAGTTTGGGTTGATATGAGAAAAGAGAGGTTTCAAAGTCCTAGAAAGAAGTCTAAACTTCAAGGTCCTAGAAAGAATCAACAATAATGCTTATAAAATCGATATACCAAGTGATTATGGCAATATTAGTGCCAGCTTTAATGTTGTTGATCTTTCTTTGTTTGAAACAGGTGAAGAAGACCTTGATTCGAGATCGAATTCAGTCCAAGAAGGAGGGGATGATGACGACTCGCCCAAATCAATCAACTTGGATGAACTAATGGGCCTAGGAAGGCCCATGACTCGGGCCAAGGCCAAGAAAGCCTGAGGCACTCTTGGTCAACTAATACTAAGTATCCACACTTCAATTGGGCCAAGTGATCACATGAGGCCCATAAATTGCCTGTTTGAGGCAACATCCCTTGTTAGCTACGGCCTAGAGGCAAAGGAATAAAGAGTTTTCATTGTTTTTATTTAATAAGTGGTCTTAAAACCACGGCTACATTTAATTTATGCAAAATAAATGCTTGTCTTAAATCTTACTTTACATTTTATGAAATAATTGAATACATATTAATGTGAGCTTATTGTGTAGGAACCTTAACATAGGCCATCCGTAGGATCAAAGTAAGCATGGGCGTGGATTCAAGCTTACCAAACTTGGCTATGAGGGAATTAATCATTCATGGGTGTGGCAAGACTTGCCTTATCAAGAAAACACACTATTACCACGTTGATGAACCAAGCCACATTTGGAGCACAATTAAACCTTGCCAAATTCTGCTACCAAAGGCAGAATAGGCTCATTACACTTGTTGCCTTTGTTGAGATTACATTCAATTGATGAATCACATTCAGATTGGGCGAGTGATAGAAAATCCTTGGAGTTGCCTTATTGGGATCATCCAAATTAATGACTTTCCCCAAGTCGTGGCCAACAAAGTTAAGTCTTTCCATATACTAACAATTTCGTGTTATTTGTTGCCTTATTGGGAGTGAACCACATTAAAAGGGGCCAAGTCAAATTCGGAGAGTTAGGGAAACAATTATTTGTTGCCTTACTTGGAGCACAAATTCAGAATGCAAAATCGGCCAACATAATGACTCACCCAAAAACGTGGCCAACAAAGTTAAAGCTCTTTCCATACTCGGCTACCAAAGGATTAAAACAATTTTATTTCATCTATTCAAATTACCTTGAGATCAGCCCACATGTGCAAGAACAAAGGCAAAGAGAACTCATGGCAATGGCACTAAAAGGAAGAACACATGAAGTTTCAACATAAATGCTCCATGAAACTCGTCCCTTTTCTTTTGCTTATGGTGTAAATGAATTTCAATTGTATTTTACGAGGCTGATTCATGACAGCCCTAGTTATTTTCTAAGTGATAAATTGTAATTCAAATTTCTCAAAGGCAATGTAAGGCTGAATCAAAACGGCCAGCCAAGTCTTAGCCTAGGCAATTAAGTCACGGTTTGAGTTACAAGGGAGCCTTAGGCCAACCCTCACTATATGTACTCGAAACACACAATTGAATAAGATACCTTGGAATTATATGAAAATATTGCTTAGTGAGAATTCTCTCCTAGCTTCTTGGTTGAACCAAGAATATCAAAGTTCTTATCAAAGTTGCTACTTTTTGGCGAACAACGACCGACTTATCAAGTAACCATACTTGTGGCACCTTCATCACTTCAGCCTATCTTCATACTTCTTTTATCGTACAAAATCATACACAAAAACCACTAAACAAAAGTCCCAATTTCGTCCAGCCAGAAACAGCCTAGGATCATAAGCCTCGGCCAGGATTCTTGTCCCATCGGTCAGCCTAAGACTAGCCTCAGTCAAGCTGACTTGTCCCACATAACCACCAATTTCCAAGCTCTCGGCCCAAACATAAAAACCGTGACCCCCCCTTACAACGCCTCATACACCACAAACTACACTCAGCCTATTTCCAAACACATCCAAACCCCTAAGCCATACACAAACCCATACTAAAGCCAAAAGATCAAAGTAAACAATCAAACATAAGCCGAATTCCCCCAAACATCATCTTCCAAACAAAACGATCGTGAAAGCATACCAACCCCCACAAGGAGGTTTCTATCAGTAAGTAAGTCAGTCTGTCATTCAGTAAGTAAGTAAGTCAGTCATTTAATAAGTAAGTGAGTCAGTCATTTAGTAAGTAAGTCATTCAGTATTTAAGTCATTCAGTAAGTCAGT